CCTTAGCAAAGCGCATCCCAGGCTGCATAGCCGCACTACCCTACCCAACCATACCACACATAAACATGACACTACCCCCGGGGTTTACACAGACGAGCCGGCGAAGCAAGAAGAGCGCCAGAAGAAAGGGCCCTAGCCGGCGGGGCCCAGCCAGGACAAAAGGAGGTCCCACAAAGCGCCTACACCGGCCGCATTTGCGGTCGGGGTAGACGACGGATGGGGCCCACCTACGAAGGCTGTCCAGGCCTACACGAGATGAGGCAGGATAAAGAGGGATAATCCCCCTCGATCCCAAATCATTGAGGCCAATTTCTAGCCATAGAATAATGGCGGCGCGATCGGGTAAAAAATAGCATTATAAATTGTCGTTAAATATTTTTCTTACCGTTCATTAGTTTGTTTTTTTTTTATGTTTCCAATAGCATGTGGGGCCCCCGGAGCCTGTGGGGCCCGGGACTACAGCTCCCGCTAGCCCCCTGGTTAATCCGGCGCTGTTTAGAGCATATACTACATGGAGGAGCACCGCGTGTTAAGAAGTGTAGACACTTTAGAGAGAAAGAGCCGTACTAGCTCTCTCTCTCTCTTTTTGTTGTAGATGGAATTACATAGCTAATCACGTGCTTGCGCGAGTGGGAACGGTTCGTACCCATCTACTCTTACTCTCTCTATCATTTGTCTACACTGTCGCCGTAAGTGTGCTCCATGCATAGACCTTATAATAGGTCTATGGCTCCATGTCCATGTAGTATAGCTTTATCACATACTTCTATCGGATAGAAGTATGTGAGCTTTATTTTGTTGCAACTTTGGCGACGCTGTTAACGAATTTGAACAGGCAGCGCGCAAGGATTTTATACTTGTATAAAATCCTTGGGCAGCGCGACCTAATAAGGTACACAGAACAGAAAATAATAGAATACCTAATTATTTATTTAATATTGTTAAAAAAGTGTAATAGTAAATAAACAGGAATAGGGTCGTATGTAAACACAATTTCAGTTTTTATTTCATTAGATGAATAATTTTGTTAATATGGAATGCGAAATATTTGTTTTGGGTAATTTTTTTAAATACATGCATATTTCGATACTTAAATTGTTTTGTTTAGACATTTAGCACTATCGTCGTAATATATATTATTTCAATATCTTCCCGTAAAATGGAAATACCCAAATCCACTAAAATACAATTGAATTTGCGCGGACCCCTAATACCTATAAAAGGTAACGTACAAATCTATAGGTATAATAGATAAAAAAAATACTATTTGCTTTTGATAAGATAAAGAGTGAATATGACAGTCGGTGGGTTATAGTCTAAGGGCGTGTACAATTTTGCCATAAAAAAAAAGAAAAATTGGTGTTAAAATGAGGTGTATCTCTTTCTTGTTTGTTTCAATTGTTTTATTCAACTTTGGGGTTGCACAGGAAATTATAAGTAAGTAAATTTTGAATTAAATGTATGAATAACTTAAAGAAAATTTGTGTGAAAATACAAATAATTTAGAAATTATTTATTTTATTAATAAATAAAAACATGAAGTGAGTTAGGTGCGTACCTACGGGAATTAGTAAACCATATACCTAAGTATATTTAGGATTTTTTTATAGCAAAACTGGCTTCTTTTTATTATACACTTTTGATACACAAAACTAAATTCGGTCATTAATTACAAAAAAATCGTTTTAAAAAGTATGTTCATTATTTATTACGTAATTAGTATTAATATTCACAGATACATAATAAACTGCATCTTGTACAATAAGTACCTAGTTGTAATCAATTCCTCAAATTTCCAGTGATAGTAGATAAGTACGTATTTAAATTAGTAATTTTAAATAAGTAATAATTAAAATTTGATGTTGATCTATATGGGAGTATTGAGACATTTTGTGTAACTTTATGTAGGTACATATAAGGTACCTTACAAGGCTCATAAACACTGTTTGATATTTTCGTTATTTGTTTTAATTTTAATCTCGTTCGCGACCTTGATAATTACTCATTTTACTAAAAATAAATATGCTATCAATTTGTAAATCAATCGTTATGAAGACTTAATAGATGCAGCAACCGATTAAACTCATTTTAAACTTTATAGGTACCTATTTGATTTACTTCAATTAAAGGATCTTAAAAGTGGCGTAACTTAAACTTTAAATCCAAATTCTACGAAATCTTAGATAAGGAAATGAGTATTGTTATTCACAGTACACTGCCCAAATGCTCTAACTCGACGAATAAAAAAGTGACTTATGCACATCCAGTGGCACGCATCAATTTTTTTGCAGTATGTAAATGAAATATCTACATG